GCGTTCCGGGTTGGTATTGCGCGACTGATACGTTGAGGGCGAGGCACCGGACTCACGACGCATGCTGGTTGGGTTGCGTTCCGGGTTGGTATTGCGCGACTGATACGTTGAGGGCGAGGCACCCAGATCACGACGCATGCTGGTTGGGTTGCGTTCCGGGTTGGTATTGCGCGACTGATACGTTGAGGGCGAGGCACCAGGATCAGGATGAGTGCCGCCTGATTCATCATTTGTATCTGCAGGGTTTGGATCCTCCGCCAGTGGCAGGGCAACGACTGGTATTGGGTGGGCAAATAATTTGGGGAGGACCGTGCACACATCGGCGTATTTCGGGCACCTGACCCTCCCCCCGCTCCATCTGCTCCCCGACGGAGCGGCAGTCTCACCCTCATTGCAGTCGTACCACGTGCCGTCGCCAAGGAACTGCACCCTCAGCTTACTCCCACTGCACTGCGTGTTCACGCACACATCGCCAATCTCTTGGTAATCAAAACGAAGCCCCTCCCCCTTTACACACCGTGAGCTCGAGCCAATTAAGCTTCCAGGGAATTGTTTAGGGTCACCGTTTAGACACCCAGACGCCCCACGCCCCATAACATACGGACAGTAGTCCGTAAAGTCCCAATTAGCGCCAACTCGGGGGTTATCAAAGTACTGAAACTGCGGTGGAAGGGACTTATTGTGAGTCTTTAGCGCACAGTACCCCAAAGAAAGACGATCATACGCGCAGAACAGCCTGTGTTTATTTGACGGCTGCTTGCAGAACAACTCAGGATAGTTGGTGCGGCCATTGATGAAGCACTTATTTTTCAGCAGCCCGCAGCCAGAGTTGTTGCCCCACCGCAACGTGTCCGCCATGCCGTAGTTGACCTTGTACACACCCATGTCTTCAAATGCCGCAAGAGTGAATGCCGAGTAATATAAAAGCTTACCCGCAGGAGCCATCAACTCACCCATTGCATTGCGTTCCTCCCAGTGACTCAAGCTTGGCTTCGGCCCACCCCCATCCTCCAGCTCCATGCCCTCAAGTGTGGGGCAGTTGTAGTACTTCCTTGCCAGCTCCTTCACCTTCGGTGAGGAAACCACCCACACATATTCTTTCCCGCGCACATTGGGGACCTCGGAGACCATATTGAGCTTCTTAAAGCGATCATACGAAAACCCAAGAAGATGCCCAATCTCGTGCGCTGCAGCACCAACTAATTCATCAGTGGCCTTTATGTACTTGGGGTTGAAGTTCACGACGCCAGCGTACGGGCGTCCATCCTTCAGAACGACGCAGCAAGACGCCCATGCAATGGCACTTCCACTCACGCGAGCGTCGATGTAGAGAATCAGGTCGGCGACGCTCACGCCGATCGTGTGGTGCCAGGAAGGGATGTTTAAACCGGTGCACAACCCTAAATCTTTCTTTGGTATGGGGATGGGACCCCTCACAGGTCTCACGAAGAGACGCTCAGCGTGCATCTTAATTGCAGCGGGGAGGAGTTGCTTCAAAACAATGTTCTTCTTCGCCTCCGTCAGCATAATGTCCTCCGTGCATTCCTTCCAGTCACCATCGACCAGGCGCCAATGCTTCCCTGGGAGGCAGTGCTTCGATTGATCATCCATGTCCTTCGCAGACACTTTGATGCGGATCGGGGCCCACTCACTCCCCACGCCTTGTGCGGCGACGGTGTACGCCTGCATCTCACCCTGTCCTCTGCGCGGCACGTCACGCACCACTGCAGTCGCCGGCGGCCCCCTCCTCATCATCTCGGCAAACCCGCAGCGGTGCTTCCGGGCGAGAGCGTCGGCAACGCACCCAGCGGCGAAACACATCAGCAGCAGCAAAAACACCGCCAGTGATACAAACGGCGTGCCGAGGCGTAGCTGGCACATCGCCTGAACAAACTGCCCGTGTTGCTTCCGTTTGAACATCAGAAGCGGCATTATTAGTGGCGGTAGCAGGAGTAGCAGTAGTAGTGATGGCGCAGGCCTTTTAGGCGGGGGAAAAAAAAAAGAAAAAAAGAGCAAAAGACTTACAACAAACATAAAACAACAAAATCAATCAAAATCTTCCAACTCGGTGTACATGGCACGAGGCACGCGCTGCCGCTGCCTTTGCCAGCCCCTTCAGCGATCGGCACGTTTGTGTCGCACTGCCGCGGCGCAGCCGTCATGCGGCCAGTGCCGTCTGTCAGCTCCCCGCTTCTGTCGGGCACAAGCTGCAGCTGCAGGTACGCCTGCCGCGCGTCCTGTCTGCCCCGCCCTCTTGCACTTTCGCCACAACCACACTGCAGTAACGCACCACGCCGCGACGTGAGCTCCACGCCCAACACCACGCGACAAACAAAATACAAACCGGGCACACTCCCGAGATGCCGTGATCCCGCCGCAACGTGTGCCGCACAATGCCCACCGTGTGACACACAAAGGCGTCGAGGCCCCGGCAGCCGCAGCACAGCACCGCGCCTCCCATGAGTGCCCCAATCCATAGCAGCGCGCCTCTGCAGAGCAAACTGCGCCGTGGGCTTCCGGAATGTGGTTCCGATGACCGCATAGAAGGCTCGTCCATACGCCAAGAGAAGAAGAACTGCGTCCCTGCCTGCAATCCCAATCACACTACTCACGTAGAGTCCATCCCCGCTGCGTCGAAACATTGACGCCGTCACCAGGAGCACTGGCGGCGCGAGTCGGTCCGCAGCAACCCGCAACGGACAGAGACAAGTCTGGTGTCAACGCGAAGGCAACGGCCTCCGCCACACACCCATCAACGCTGCCAAGTCCCTGTTGTAGCTCGCGTCATTTGGCGGCAGCGTTCCCCAAGACAGTGCTCGAAAAATGCGCGGCTGCGACACTCTGCGAGGCACTCCAAACCCCCGCACGTACGCCGCTCCGGTCGGCACGGAGGCGGCACCCGAAGACGACACAACAGCCGCAGAAAATCCCACCGCTCACCTTCGGCTCCCCTCCCACCGGCGTCCCAGCTGTCCCTCAGCTGCAACCACAACAAGAGGGAAGCAAACCACACGGCAGCACCACACCGCCCAGCACTAGCAACCATTTGCCCCTCCACATACCTCACTTGCCGTCGTCCCCAAAACACACACACACAAGAAGGGAAGCATCATTACACAAAGCCAAGGCAAAATTAAAAACAACAAAACTCTGAATGCAAGCGGGGTCCCTCGCACACACACAAACACCGTCTGAGACAGCGGAACAGGTGCAATCAACCAAAACACCCAAATAAAGAGAGACGCAGAGAAAAAGACTGCTCAAGGAATCAGCACCATCCCTTAAAGAAAAAAAAAACATAGACAAAAAAGGTTCTGCGCGTTCCTCAGCGTATGCCTTAGCGACAGCCCAGAGCAGCAAGCGGCAAACCACAGCAGGCTCCAAGGGCCCTTTCCCTTCCACAGCACACTGACAAAGTGAAAGCGCCGGCAGCTCCCACTCCGCCTTCCACGTTGTTTGTTCCGCAACCCCGCAATAGCCTCTCCGCCGAACTGTCGTCGGACGCCACGCAGCCCTACGCTGCATTTCTCCGCAGTTGCCGCAAAATTTTCTGACGGCAGCCGCCCCCTCCCCAATAACGCACGCGCAT